GCACTCAAGGTGCGCCGCCTCTCTGAAATCATTTGGACTGATGAGAAAATTTTTACGGTTGAGCCGCTTCCGAACCGACAGAATGCTCGGCAATTGTTGTCAAAGGACGAAGCAAAGTCCCCAAAACGTCGTCTGGCCTACAAGAGACTTTTTCCAAAGTCAGTGATGGTGTGGGCTGGATTGACGTCGGAAGGTAAAGTCCCATTGGTTTTCATTGATAGAAATGTGAAAATCAACTCGGATGTGTACCAAAAGTTGGTGTTGATGGATGTTTTACGTCCGTGGGTCACTAGCCACTTTGGCCAGCAACCCTTCATTCTTCAACAAGATTGGGCCCCGTCCCATGGCTCGAAATCCACGAAAGCTGTTCTCGACGCTCATTTCCCTGGCTACTGGGGCAAGGACATGTGGCCCGCTTCCTCGCCCGATCTGAATCCACTCGACTTTTCCGTTTGGGGATATTTGGAGGAAAAGGTGATGGCTCGATCGCACCCAAATGTGGATTCACTGAAGGCCGCTTTGCTCAAAGCATGGGATGATCTTGACGATGACTACCTCCGGCGCACCGTCGCTTCTGTTCCAGCTCGTTTGAAGGCGTGCATCAAGGCCGAAGGCTCAAACTTCGAATATCTCCTCTGATATCTTTTCTATTACTATCATTTGTTGAAAAAATAAATCTGGTTCTTTTGTTGAAACTCCATTTTTGAAAATACAACAAAAAACAAGTGTCTCAATACTTTTCAGCCACCCTGTATTAAGCGGCTGGGAAACTGCCAAAACCGTCGAAATAGTTCCTAAATCCGTATGCCATTGGGACCAGTACCAAGCATCTGATCCAGTACCCCTCCAAGTGAAATTTTTCGCCAAGAAAATACAAAAAATTGAAATTGAAATACAAGAAACGCCCAAAAAGGTGAAAGTCCTGTGAACTTGGAACCAAATTGGGAGATTCAAAATTTTTAGATTTTCAAAACTTTTCTTGCCAAATCGTGCGAATAAAAAGCCAGATGGGATGAAGAATAACCAGCCAATGAGCATGAGAATTGCTGAAAAATAATTTGAAGATTGTGGTGATCGCAGAATTGGAAACTACAGTAATCCAGAAGCTTGGAATGAATTCTTTCTCTGATTAAAATTGACAAATTCAGAAATTCAGAAATTCGAAAAAAATGAATTTTCGGAAACCATAAAGTTTGAACCTTGGCGTAGGTTGTAGTGCTTGCAGAATTTCGAAACTACAGTAGCCCGGAAAAAAATTACCATGAACCTTAACCAGCAATTTCTTCCAAAATTTCTCCCAGTCAGTAATGCAAATTTCACTGAATTTGAAATATGGAGACCTCTCTTTGTTATAATCCAAAAATGAATTTTCGTCCTGGAAAAATGGGTTCCAGTTAAAATTCGAAGTTTTTAATAAACAGAAAAATGCTTACTTTCTGAAACATGAACATTTGAGCCATTGTGACTTGAATTCCGCAATTTCTCAATTTTTTTGAAAAATTTATAAATCTCTTGTACCTGGGATCCGGAGAGGTTCCATTCACCGAACATACATAGTTGTGAAAGTTTCCCTGAAACTTTTCTAGAAAATATATTCCCAGAATTCAATACTGTAACACCTGTAATAGAAGAGCCCCCTAACATTTAACTTTGAGCTCATTTATCTCGGTCCCTGACAAAATTATAAAAAAACTTGTCAACTGGTAAATTGTTTATTATAATATCACAAACGTTTTATCAGTTGACAAACTATTGATATCTTTCAAAGGAACCGAGATAATTTAGCTCAAAGGTGACAGTATGGGGGCCCTTCTATTACATGTTTTACGGTATATCGGAAATTCAAAAACTCAATAATTGAAAATTTCAGAAATTTAAAAGTTCAGCATATTCCGAAAAATTCAGAAGCAACAAACAACAAATCGCTGAAAATAGTTCGAATTTTAGCATAGATCAGGGTGTTTGCAGAATATTGAAAGTACAGTAATCCTAGAAGCCTTAAGAATTTAAAGGTGGTGTACGGTGAAATTTTTTATTGCATCAAAATGTGCAGAAATGCATGTAGATTGACATAAAAATAAAGAAAAAGTTCAAAAAAATTCCTTCATCGAGAAAAACGCATCGAAAAATACGCTGAAAGCCCTTAGGGACGAGGTTTTTTCTAGGCCGCCCGGTGAGTAAAAGCGCGCGAATTCAAACTTTTAAAATTTT